GGTAAGGGGGAAGCTTGTGCCCTTCTGACGTGTAACAGAGCATTGCCGTCACTGTAGTTTTACCGTGGACCGATGTCAGCACGCGAACTTGCTTCGCCCCCTTCTTCTCGGCGTTTGTGGTGCCAGGCATGTCGAAGTAAAGAGGCGTCTGATAGGCATGCCCTATTTGCCCAAGCAGGTAGCTGTTCTTGTGCCGCAACTTTAGGACGAACCTCTGAAAACTGTGAAGCTTTTCATCGTACTCCTCCAGAAACTTTTCGCATATGCCCGCTCGCCTTCGGAGGGAAATGCCTTTCCTCTTTATAAAGTTAGTTAGCCAGCACCTGCTCGCTTTGAACTGGCTCGGCATTAGATCTTTTTCTAAGGCTAACTCAGACGTGCCAACCCCACAGTTCTTAAAGTACTACAGGAGATGACAAAAAATACTAAAACCAAGTACAAAAATACTAAAATAGCACTTTATTTTCTAAGAACTGGCTTAGATGAATGGAATACAAAAGAAACATTTCACAAAAGAGGCACAAAAAGTTCTCAAGTCTCGGAAGTGGAGGGGTGGGCTAGCATAGAGGCCGTGGCAGCCTTGGCCTTCCTCAGAAAGTCCTTGTCAAAGACCTGTTCGTGGCACTTTCCCGAGTGTGACTGGGCACATCTTGCGACAAGCAACTGCTCCACAGTCTTTTTCGACATGGAGGCACGGAACTGGGTGTGCGCCTTTTTCACTTTGCTGAAGACTCTTTCACACTCCGCATTACTATGCGAGAGTGTTAGGACCCCCAACATAAATTTTGAAAGTCTGGCATACTTAAAGCTGCCATCCACTTCTCGTAAACCGGACACCGCCCGCCATTGCTCATCAATCTGCTGCTCCTTAGGTACTTCAGCGGGTAATTCTTCCAACTGAAGACGCATGAACTCTGCCTGAATGTTGTCCAGAGCAGAATTCACATCTTGCCCCTCTTGAAGTGGTAGCAGCACTGGGAAGCGGTTGATTAAGTACTTGACATCAGAAAACCTGGCGTGTTCAATGGACGCAAGCCTTGCTACTTCTGCACTCTTCAACAGCTCACACTTCAGTGGAAATTTCAGGATCATGTACTCCGTTGCTGCAACGAAGAACCTTCTTATATGTGTAAAAAACTCTTCCCTTGCTTCTTTTTTTAGGCCTTCCAAGGTCTGTGTGGTCCGACTACCAATTACAATATCTTCATTATCTCTTTGGCTGACGGAAGATTTGTAGTCAACGTCAGCCAACACATCAGCTTTTTTGATCACTGAAGGTTTTACAAAACGCAACATGATCTCTCTTAGCAAGTTACTAAGCACTTCACGCGTGACTTGAGGGGCTCCAGACTGCAGGAACACGTTCACCTTTTCAAACTCTGGGATTACAGACAGCAAGAAGTCACAGTATGCTCCATTTGCATCTGATGAAAGAAACATGAATAGCCTTTCTTCTCTGTTTAAGACCTTTCCTGGACGGTTTTGGGTTCGCTTGGGAGCTGTATCCGACACGGGGACATTTGTGTCCAGTCTTGGTCTTTTGCTCTGATGACTGCTCTCCGCTTCCTTTGCATGCTTCTGAAGGTCAGTGCGAAGGTTACATGGCTTGCTGGGAAACTTGGAAACCTGCCCGGAGGGCCTTACTTCACTATGGAAGAAACTAAGCAGTGGCTGCCACTGGTCCACAAGCCGTTTCAGGCTCCTTACAAGAGAGAGCCACCTGGTGCTGACATGCTTTAAAATTTTCTTGGCCTCTACATCGTGGAGAGACTGAAAAGCTTTCAGCTTATCCTTCCTTTTTGAGCTTTTCTCGAGGTAGTAGAAAATGTCAACTAGCACCTCATCCACATTCAGTGGAAGGCATGCTGAGCCTTTCTGTGCCGCCAGATTGATCAAATGGCAACAGCAGCCCATGATGGCAATGTTCTCATGGCTTTCTTTCAGCACAGCAGCCACTCCGTTTTTTAATCCAATCATGACTGGCGCGTTATCACACGCCATGACGATGCAGTTCTGGAGCGGTATCTTTTTGCTCGTTAGCGTGTCCACAACAAGCGCACCTATGTTTCGTCCCGTGGAGTTACCTTCGAGGGCAGGCATCGCGAGCAAGGCAGTGCGAACAGTACTATCACAGAACGTCACCACGATTGGATACAGTTTTGCATCGTTGCCGGCGTCATTGCTCCCGTCTGTGGCGACTGAGAACGGAGCGTGCTGCAAGTGACTTATCACTTCGTCGATAGCTTTATTGGCCATTTCCTTCACAATCGCCCTAGTCTTCGTACGGGCGCAGGCGTAGTTCTTAGCTTCCTTCGAGTCCGGAAACATTTTTCGAAAGAGGTCTCCAGCGTGATCAGCAGCCGTGAATGGCACGTTGTGTTCAATCAGGAACGCAGTAAAAAGGCACTCCGCTCGAGTTGTAGTATCGTGATCCGCTTTGCTGAAGTACCCTCCAAGTTTCCCGTTAGAGTCCACAAGTTTCGCCGAGTCTTTGTGTTTCTTCGTATTCACATGTAGCAGAATATCCCGGCGACCAGCGTGCGAAATGTTCACATCACAGCAGCACAAACTACAAAATGCGTACCGCTCACCTTTACGCGACCTCTTAATAAATGGAAAGTCAGTCGAATAGCTGGGAATAAAAACTCAGACATCTCGTGAGCTGCTAGGGCTGAACCATACGCTACCGCTCCGCAAAAATATGTGCAAGGCACCTCCCGCAGCACATGGTAACAAAGAAAGTCGAGCACATTTCCGCTATCCGCGCAGTCAATGCCTTTTGGCTTTGGCTTTGACTCTGGATATAAGCCAATACAGTGTTGCCTGCATAGCCCCGCAAAAAAAAGGCCAGATTCAGCTGGTGCAGTTGACTGTCTGAAGCAGCGCGTTCAGTTTGCGAACTTTTCGACCCGAAACATGAAAAATCGTAAAAATATAGTTGTCATTACGATACTCGTAAAAATGTGCTGAAAATCGGGCACTTTACGATAAAATCGTAAAACTTGGCAGGTGTGCTAACTGCATAGCCCGCACTTGTAGCAGTTATGTCGTCACGGGCCGCTGTGCCGCTCGCTACTCAAGCACATACTCGCCGAGCAACTCTTCAATTTGCAGAAACCGACTCTGCTGTGGTCCACTCGTTGTATACACTTCAAAAAAGCGCTTTGCGGGCTGTTGCAAATATAGGTTACAGAGAACACACATCCCATTTATTTGTCAAGTTTAAAGTTTTAAAATTTTGTGTGGCATATGAACATAACTTGTTGTTGTCTTTGAGGTCTGAAATTCGAAAGAATTGTGCAAACCTGAGAGGCTTAGCACATTTACCGCCGAAAATTTTGTTGCGTCCGATGCGGAGTTCTGAACACTGGCACATCCCCCGACCGCGAACAAATTACGGACTCCAAATGCTAAAGCACTCTGTTCCCCATATACTAAATAAGTTCAAGCTCACAGAACAGCAATTGCGTCTCCTTTCAAGTAGCGATATATTAAACCTGTTTGTATAAGGAGCTATAAACCCAGAAAAATTACACCCAGTACTTGTAAATGCATGAAATTTTAAGTGTACCCCTTTCTGTTATAGCGTCTTATATTGGTTGCCTTTTTTCCCAAAATTTGTTTGTTTGTAAACACCCAAGTGTGCATCTATTCTGTACTTCATAAACAACCACTAGAATGTTATTTTCTTTTCTTTTTTCTTTCAATCATACGTGAGCACCATATGGAGCTTGGTGTGCCATTGTTTCTGTTGCCTTGTACAAATGGGAGGTGGGGCTAGTCAAGCTGCTATAGCGCAGCTTTTTTCCTACTTTCCATGCCACAATTGTTTCTTGTTTGTGTAAATCATGGTGTATCGTTGTGGTGAAATAAATTTCAACTTTCAACTTACTTTCAACTGAGGCCTTTGCGGGAATCTTTTCTGGGGACAATTATCTGCTTTTGTTTCCGCCAGTCTCACACGCACGTTTATAGAACTCTGAACGACCGCGATGCGGCCCGATTTTCGTCCATTTCGGCACACGCGATTACTTTTAAAATCGGCATCGTGGTGCACTCGAGTTTTTGGAGTCGGCCCTTCCATGCCGTCGATGCTAATGCACTACAATATGACGAACTCCTCAGCACACGTACGAAGTGCCGCCCATGGGAAACACATAGGCAGAAATGGCCGACGCGCCATGTCGACGCACCTTTCTCCGCGCCGACGCACGTAGGGGGCTGCCATTTTAGAAATGCCGACGGCAATAGAATGACCGTGTCCATTTTTTTTTACTTGATTCTAACGCACATGCGATTTATGAACTCGCTTAACCGGAAAAAAGGTGCGCGTTAGATTCGAGTAATTACGGTACTCGGCTGCTGACCCGCAGGTCGCGGGTTCGAATCCGAGCTGCGGCGGCTGCATTTCCGATGGAGGCGAAAATGTTGTAGGCTGTGTGCCCAGATTTGGGTGCACGTTAAAGAACCCCAGGTGGTCCAAATTTCCGGAGCCTCCACTACGTCGTCTCTCATAATCATATGGTGGTTCTGGGACGTTGAACCCCACATATCAATCAATCAATCGAATAAAAGTTCTTAAAAAGCTCCTCGAAGACTGAACTTACCATCAGAAGAGATTTTACAGCCAGAAATATTAAGCAGTAGCAGAAAAAAAAACTCCTAAAAATTGAATTTCCCAATCTACGAAGACAACTTGAGGCTGTCTATCTCTCCAATCCTTGACACAGGGCAAGTAGTTTTACGTTAAACACCTGCTGATGATGCAATCAAGCGACCTTTTACTCTCCAATCCTTGACACAGGGCAAGTAGTTTAACGTTAAACACCTGCTGATTATGCAATCAAGCTACCTTTTACTCTCCAATCCTTGATACAGGGCAAGTAGTTTTACGTTAAACACCTGTTGATGATGCAATCAAGCTACCTTTTACTTTGATACCGCAAAATCGCGTGCACATCATATACAAAAACGCGCTGGGTTCTTACGGCATGACTTACCCAAACCTGGAACACTAGCTCTCCACCTCCAACCTTGAACTGCGATTGGAACAGCAGTGCGAATTTCTCATCCATGACAGACTGGAAAAGGCAACAAGCGCGAGCAACGTTTAAAAGGCATGCCCAAAAACAACACAATGTGTAGTGCAAACCAATCTAACATTCCTCCTGCAAGTTCAAGTTTGTGTAGTGTGAGCCCAAGTTTAGTTCAAACAAAAAAAAAGAGAAAGGCTTAACACAGAACTGAAACAGTTTTCACTAAATGTGTAAGAATAAATTGACAACTACCACTGGAAAGATTTTTTTCTCTAAAACCCCACGAGATAGCCAGAAGGTAATGGAAAACAAAAAATAACTACACGTCAGATGCTCACCTCAGTGCCTTTTTTCTCTGCTCGCTTGATTTTCCGCAATTGCTGAAAAAAGAAATAGAAAGAAACAGAATTCGTGCAGTGAAGAAAAGGCCGCAGGCATTTTTTTATAACGAAAGTGCGAAAGACTAAGTGCGAAAGACTAAGGCAGTAAAGGCACACACACAACCACACGTCTTCGATGAGCGGAGATACAGCACTACGTGCGTTTTTATCTGTGCCTTTACTGTCCTGGTCTTTCATGGTGTTTCTTTACGATATGTTCAATCAACTAGCCGGTAAATTGACACTTGAACCTTTTATGTCATACATATGAAAATACTGGTGATTCCAAGCTAACTAAAACGCTTGATGATTTAAAATATATTGTAAGCACCATCTTTAACTACTAGCCTTCCACCAATACTACTCCAGGTCCCTTGATTTTCTGGTTAATCAGATCTCGATCAACAGTCCCAGCCAGTTCCCTATAAACGTTTGCGGAACCAAACTTTCGTTGTTTCAATTCAGAAATTTCCCTTTACCGGAACTAGGCTGGTGCTCTCACAGAGAGCCTACGCCCAATAATGACCGCACGAATGGTTTGAATAACAGCATTTTATAACTTCAAAGCAGTCGGCGAATAGTGATCACGCAAAAAGCGATTTCAAAAGCTTGAGAGCTGTTACAGCGGCAGAGGGCCAGCTCCGAATGCCTGAGGCTCCTGTAACGCACAGCTGAATCACTACGAGACGAGCGATTCTGGGTCATGCCCTCACCACAACGTTGTGATCAAGGATCCTACCCGTGGCAAACGGAAGGATGCGGAATGCCACGTTCACATACCATGTTCCTAAAGCTGACACTCAGTTGCCTTGTACCCTGGTGGTACTCCATGGTCCCAGTATTATTCAGGATGTCTCCACTTGCCTCTCTGAAAGCACAAGAAAGAAAAAGCATATAGACGTCCATAATGGTATTTTCCACTTTAGAATGCTTGCTGTTTTTTTAATCTTTATTCTTTTAATCCATGCAATATATGGCGGCAAGGTCGACCTATGTTCCAAGTTTTTACAAGCTTGTAAATACGGCATTATTGAAGGTCCACTGAAGCATAAAAATTATGGCTTATATCTTAAATGAATTAGCGAATTTAATCAGCCAATATGACCCACTGTAAACTTAGCTATATTTGTATTTGTTACGCAAAATGCTTATCTATTTTTACGCCACAGAATCTTCATGGCACTTATTATAAGAGAGTTAGACTGTACAAGAGCCGCAGTACACCCAACAGGCAACATCCGCAGTGTAAATAAGTAGAGCAAGCTTACCCAACACCAACTTTCTCGCTCTTTAGCAGGGCATTTGCCTGGCTTTCACTGCAACGGAGAAAGTCACAATAAGAAATAGCGGCAACGTAAGGACTAAGTACATCCACACAAGCAAGAAATGGTCTTCACTTACACTACACTCAGACTTTCAAACAATGTAGATTGCCCCGAAAAGTGGTGGCACGTCCAGGTCGTCACAGTCAAACGGTTCAACTATCTATGCCTGAATGGTATTTTCATAGTGGTGTCACATGGACCGTTTGGATTGCAATCAGACCTGATCCGAATCTAATTTCTTCGTTCAATGAGCTCCTATACACAAGCTGTAGATGGGAGCCAATCACTGGTAAAAAATTTTATCTCAATCAGACTTAGTTGCGATCAGCAGTGCACCGTGTAATGCTGGTATTAATGACATCAAGGAGCTGGGAGTGCTCTCCTGAATTCTATCTAAACTGGATTACGCCCCAAGATTGCCATTCGGAATGACAATGGCGGGAGCACAGCATTCTTGCTGAGCAACCCAAGCAGCTGGGAGAGCGCTTCCAACTGCTCCATCTTTTAAATGCAGTCACTGACTGAGAAAAGTCACGTGGGGTAGCTTTTGCCGCTTACCATGCACAGTCAACCTCAGATTTTTCAGACTTCCTATAGAGTGAGAAATCATCCTCATGAAACCTGATAGCGAGAAAAAAATTTGGTGCCTCTTTATTTCCTATAAAGAGCCAGATTTACACAGTCACATGTGAAATAATCTTAGAGACACTCGACTACAATTACAAAGAGTCTTTGCGCTAGCACAGCGGAACCCAGTCATCTCGTACTTGATGGGACGAAACTACTCACTAACCGCAAGCGGAACCCTGTCATCTCGTACCTGATGGGACGAAACTACTCACTAACCATTAAGTACCAATTCAAGTCTACTAGCAGAAAGAAAGGTGGTGGCAACAGTAAATCACCAGCCGAAAATCTGCTGCGTCCCGTGTCAGCCAAAAGCTTCTTGCCAATGTTAACGCTTTAATACTTAAGTGCAAAGCACCTTAGGGCCTCGGTGTAACGTGGTCACAGTCTTTCATAAAAGCGTCACCAAAATAGGATTATATCCCAATACTCGCCACCGGACCACTAAAAATGAAGAAAGCAACAGTTGGCCCAACAAGTAGCTGACAATGTTAGTGGAACTGAAACACCCTTAAATACATGCTTCACTCCAACCCAATTGCTTTTCCATGCAACACTATTGTACAGCGACGAAAGTAGCATGAACATCCTATTGTACAGACAATTTGAAAATTTTACAACCGATGTTTTTAACTATTATTTTCTGACCAAATAGTTCTAGTGCCATTTCTCAGGAGATTCCTAGCGGTGCCCGTACCATCCAGACAACTGTACAAAATTTGGGAGCCTCGTGGGCCAATCAGGAGAGTTACTAGTCTGTTACTTTCACAAACTTCTGGTCCCCGTGGAATTCGAATGAAAAATTTTGTAGGCTGTGCAATGAAATATTCCTGATTGTCAGGCATGTCCAAAAAATCTGTCGTTGGCTATAGCTTACCAGGCAGAGATCTACACACGGTTGCAGGAATTTGTCCTGGACCTCAATAGATACATGGAGTAAAATAACATCAATTGTGAAAGGCAATAACAACCATGTGAGGACAAGGTATCGAAACAAACCAGAAAGACTACAAATTTGCAGCAAGGCTGTAACCGCCTTTAATTATGGCATATTCGTAGGCAAAGAGTAAAATTCAGGTTTGAAGTTTATAGCGATTTGGTTGAATAATTTCAAGACAATCTCAAATAGTATAAATCACATACTGTAAAAAAAAGAGCCATATTTGTTAGAACCCAAGTAACCTGCACTACATTTCTTGAAAAATTGAAAGAAGACATGTGCAAATGTTATTGTTTTTTATTCATAAGAAGTGGAGGCAACTTGGAATAGCAGCAGGATTTAACTTTCAGTATAAAGAAAGCGATACAGTCGAGCCTGCTTATAACGAACCTGAGCCTGACGCGGAATCCATTCGCTGTACCCCGAAGTACATAGTAAATGAAACACAGCTTTTAAAAAAGTTGCGAGTGAAAACACAAACTTTTTTTGCCCAAAAAGTCCGTGATGCACGTATTTCGAAAAGCAGAAGTGATAAGGGCGGCCTCGAGTTCATTTACAATGGCAGGGTGCTCGTTCGCCGAGGCCCGTGGCATCGGCGAACGAGCACCCTGGTGTCTCAATATATTTGCTAACACACTGGCATGGCTACAAGCTTATCTCTCATGCAGGAAACAATGCACCATCATCGATAGCGCGTCATCGTCACATGTAGACGTCATTTCAGGAGTGCCACAAGGCTCCGTCCTGGGGCCGCTTCTCTTTTCGATTTGTATCAATGATCTTGCTGAAAGCGTGGACAGTCAAGTGAGGTTGTACGCAGATGACTGCTGCATATATCGTGAAATTAACTGCACTCAAGATTCCGAACAACTGCAGAGAGACCTTGACTCGGTAATAGCATGGTTCAGTACATGGAAAATGCAGCTTAACGTGTCAAAGTGCTGTGTCGTTAGGTTTACCAAGAAAAAGCAGCCTTTTCAATTACTTCAAACAAATTACTTCATGGAAAGGATACCATTATCTATGGTAAATGAATACAAGTATCTTGGCGTTGTCATCAACAGCGCACTATCGTAAAATGATCATGTTCGCATGGTATCAGTTAAAGCCAGTCGCATGCTGAACATCCTACGCCGCAATTTCAGAACCGCCCCCTCTGTTCTTAAGGGGAGACGCTCCTCGAAAAAGTTTTTTTTTTATTTCTAGTAATAGAGACTTGAAAAGTTGTTATTAGTATAGTTTTTCATGCAGATTTCAAATATGCAATCATTTTTTGTGTAGCTGCTATAATTATTGAGTTATGCCATAAACAATAGCAAAAAGTTACATTTTTTGCGGGCACTCTTTTACGTACTAAACTTTCAGTAAAAGCACTGTGTCTGATCTTATTTGACTCTTGGTAGATTGAAAAGTGCAAATATCTATATAGATATGTCACAGAAATATTGGAACCAAGAAAAAAAAAATTGTATTGAATGACTTATTATTTTCAATCTCCCTTGAAACAATAAGCTAATATTTTCACAACTAATGCTGGGAGGCATTGCAATTTAGAGTAGATATTTGCATTCTGCATGTGTTGAAGAATATGTGTGCCAAGTTTCGTTACTATACAATGAATATAAGTTTCTAAAAGGCTGCCCGGAAAACGTGAAACTGTCAGAAAAAATGAAAATGAGAAAAACAAGTTTGAAAGTTCGCAAAGTTGGCATTTATTAGGAAATCATTCTTTTTGCATCAAATTGGGGCACAATGAAAAGTACCTTGCCTTGAATGCACTGCAAGTGTCTAGAAGTCCCCTGCACCATAGCTTGGCCCTTCACGGCTGTTGCGGTCAGTGTCCTCAACACGAGCTCTCTTCGCTGTGTTGCGACGGTGTGCCCTCGCTTCTGCAGTTTGCTTCAGGTTCATCTTCCTGATGCGCATGACGTCACAGTGGTCACCATGTGTGGCCAGATCTTGTGAGGGGAGAATTCCAATGCCTTCGAGCACTTCTTAAAAGCCCCTGTGGCCTTTGTTGTACCAGAGTACAGCAAGAGCGGTGGCTGTCTCCACAGTTGTTCTGGAGGCGAACTTTGTTTTTGGACATAGCAGCCATATCTTGCTGTTCAGCGATTCGGCTGCATTCTGTGTCTTGCCATGAAGGCACCGAATAAAGAGCTTCTCCTCTGTAAAGCGCTTGTAGATAGGCATAATTGCCAATCCTTGAGCCTTCGTCAACAGTGGGGTGTGGCGTGGTGCAGGCTCCCCCAGTGCTTCCGCACGCTTGTGCTTGCACCACGAATTTGGTCCCGCGTGGCAAAAATTGTGGCTACTGGCACCATCCCTGGAGCAGCAATGAAAATACGATGCCCATATGGCAGTGTACATATTTCGGACACTGTCCTTGTTGCTCATGATGGCGATCTTGTAATATGTTTGTAGTTTTATTATTGTCGCATCTTTCAGTTTTTCGCCTCGTGGCAGTGGCGTTGCCAATTTCCGTAGGGCAGTTCCCAAGCGCTTTGCAACGTGGTTCGTGCACTCTTCTTTGTCAATGGGGGTGTCACAGTATACATTTGCCTCGCAGACTGCAGTGTAGGCCTTGCTGTCACCATCACTTAGGAAGCTGGTGAATCACAGTGGAGTTTCATAAGACAAGGTCCTCTGCCATATATTGACAGCTGCCGCAGGTTCCATTGCATGGGATGAGCAGTCAGTGTTTTTTTTTGGCAAACTGGAAGATGAAAAGCTCGCCATATCTCTTCATCCTCCCCAAGGTCCGTGTGTATACTGCAAGCATGGCAGTAGTTCGAAAGAACTTCAAAATCGAGGCAGAGCCCCGTGTCCAGGGACACGACTGTGCCCACTCCATTGTGGCTTTTATGACCTCTTTTCTGCCAGGTGCCATCAAACATGACTGGCACATCTCTGCCGCCGACTGCGTCTTTCGTGATGTTTCGTGCCTGGTGCAAGTTTTTGCTCACTGCCGTCATCGCCGCACCATGGAGCTTCTTGCAAATGCCGTTGAATGTCTTGTGATGCATCGGGCTCGGAAGACCGAGAATCGCACAAAATCGTGAAAGTTGGTCGTGGCCTGCGCCTATAGCGCGTGCTGCCAGAACTGCCTTCACGTTTACAGCAAAGCTGTCACGCGAGCTGCCGCTGTCAAAACGAGCGCTCGTTCCTTGGTCCCCGGCCGAAGCATTACGTCTCGACATGTGCGTGAACGAAAGTGCAGATTCAGGGCAATCAGAATTTTGACAGCACAGTTCCAGGAATGCCGAAAGTCCTTTGCGCTTTCCAGCTGCCTCTCGCACGCCGAGCTTCCGTTCGCGGCAGGTTGGGCATTGCGCACCCGCCACAAGTGCCGTCAGCGCATCGATTTCGCAAAGCAGCATGTTCGCAGTAGCAGCATCTACCGGTCTACGTTCACTCTCGAAGA